AATTTTGAATCAGAAAATTCAGTCAGTGACATAAAAAGATCTGAATGAGACTGTTTAAACAAATTCCAGTCTTGGATTTTGCTACAAATTTCATGTGGGAAAAAAAAAGTAGCACCACATTGACTTTTCAGTGTTTTAAAAAAAAGGCTAAATTTTTCATGAAGAGTTATCTGCTATCTCCTCTTCAATGCTTTCACTCCTCGTTTTCACACTCCATATGTTTGATTTGCTACCCATAAGCAGCTATACAGTCTACTTGCTGCTATCCTCTTTTGGATAGGTTTTGGCATGAACAAATATGCTAATCAACATAACCTTCTTAAAGTTACTGTAGAAACAAGTGTTATGTGAAAAAAAAAAAATAAAATAAAAATCAATGTATTGCATTCAAAGCATACAATACTACTCAAAATTTTGAAATTAGAACAGAATTATTAGCTTCAGTGTATCTGTTGCAGAGTGGACCTTTAGGAAGGCCAACCACTGCTTTTTGGAGATCTGCAATTTTAAAGCTTTCTCTGGGTCTAGAGCATTCAGCCTGACCTTGGATCTTGGTTTATCAAGAGCCATGAATTAAGAAGGTATGAAAGACTTGGAAGGTTTTCTGTTTACAAGTCTGGCTTAGGCAGAAAACTGCTAAAAAAAAGGGGGGGGGACTAATTTGTAGCCACAAAGCATGTGGTATAATCAGGCTCATACCCATATTGCTCTATGTCATCTTGAGCAGAAGCTGTCTACCTAATGTTTGTGGCTTAACTCAGCCGGCAGCTAAGGACCACACAGCCATTTGCTGACCCTCCCCCCTCACTCTCTGGAATGGGGGAGAGAATCAAGAAAAAATGAAAGCCTGTGGGTTGAGATAGACAGTTTAGTAGGAGAGAAAATAAAGGAAAATAATAATAATGATTAGTACTACTGCTAATAGTGTGTACAAAACAAGTGATGCACAATACAACTGCTCACCACCTGCTGACCGATACCCAGCCTATCCCCAGCTGGTCCCCCCACTCTGGCCAGCCCCCCCATATTAATTATTCAGCATGTCAGATGGTATGGAATACCCCTTTGGACGGTTTGGGTCAGCTGTCCTGGGTCTGTCCCCTCCCAGCTCCTGCTGCACCCCCAGCCTGCTGGCTGGCAAGACAATGTGAAAAGCTGAAAAGTCCTTGGCTTAGTGTAAGCACTGCTCTGCAACGATTAAAACATCAGTGTGTTATCAACATTATTCTCATCCTAAATCCCAAACACAGCATCATACCAGCTACTAGGAGGAAAATTTACTCTATCCTAGTTGAAACTACGATAATCATATCAGTATCTAAATTCAAACTTAAACTATTTAAAGGTTGTGATCTGTTAAAAAAAAAAAAAAAAAAAAAAAAAAAAAAAAAGGCTGGGTCACAGTTGAACCTCTCATTTGAACCTCTCATCCTATGATCCTGTAAATATATCTTCTGGCCCAATTTCTAAAATACTCTGAAAAGAGAGTATGAGACCTACCAGTGACCAGCATTATAGTGAAAAACAAAACAAAACTAAAAACAATAACAAAATCAAACGCACACAAAGAAAAAACATAAAAATAGTCATTAGGTTGGTTGTTGCCTTGTAACCGAATGTAAAGCCAGGAGAAGCCATTACTCTGAATATATTCATCACATAGAAATTCTGGTACCTGAACTAAAGAGCTAGAGAAACTGCATACCTCCAATACTGTGTTCACTGTTGGGCCTACTACAGGAAGGACATCGAGGTGCTCTGGAGAGTCCAGAGAAGGGCAACGAAGCTGGTAAGGGGTCTGGAGAAAAAGTCTTATGAGAAGCAGCTGAGGAAGCTGAGGTTGTTTAGCCTGGAGAAGAGGAGGCTCAGGGGCAACCCTATCGCTCTCTATAGGTACCTTAGAGGCTGTAGTGAGGTGGGGGTTGGTCTATTCTCCCACATGCCCAGTGATAGGACAAGGGGGAATGGGCTGAAGTTGCACCAGGGGAGTTTTAGCTTGGATATTAGGAAAAACTTCTTTACTAAAAGGGTTGTTAGGCATTGGAACAGGCTGCCCAGGGAAGTGGTTGAGTCACCATTCCTGGAGGTATTTAAAAGATGTTTAGATGTTTAGAAGCTTAGGGATATGGTTTAGTGGAGGATTTGTTAGGTCAGAGGTTGGACTAGGTTATCTTGGAGGTCTCTTCGAACCTAAATGATTCTGTGATTCTGTGATTCTATAAAGTGTTGCTGGCAGGTTAAGGAAGTCTCCTGACCACTCGTGAGGCCACACCCAGAGTACTGTGCCCAGGTCTGGACAAGAGTCTAATAAAAGGCTATGAAGGACTGGAAAGACTGGAGCATCTCTCCTGTGAGGAGAGGCTTTTGAGTTGGAACTCTTCATCTTGGAGAAGAGGAGGCTCAGAGGGGACATTACCAATGCGTATAAATGTCTGAAGGCAGGGTGCAAAGAGAACAGAGCTATGCTCTTTTCAGTGGTGCCCATTGCCAGGACACAAACTGGAACACAGGAGGCTCCCTCTGAACATTAGGCAGCGCTTCTGTACTGTGCAGGTGGTGGAGCACTGGCACAGGTTGCCGAGAGGTTGTAGGGTCTCCTCCTTGCAGCTCTTCAAAAGCTACCTGGGTATGATCCTGGATAAACAGCTGTAAGTGGCCCTGCTTGAGCAGGGGATTGACATACAGGAGAGCATTCCAACCGCAACCATTCTGTGATTCTGTGACTGCCAATTTAAAAAACAATAAAATAACACACACACAAAAAAAAAACCTTTAAATATAATTTTGTTAATGGTAATAGTAAACATGGTTTCAGACTAATAAGACTTACAGGAATTCAAGATTTTTGTTGCTCAGTATTTCTAGTTTCTTGCAACAGAAGTACCTTTTGTATCAGAGGAAAAAAGAGATAAGTGCAGGTGCTTAATTTGATGCTCTTTTAGATATCTTAGATTTCAGTACAGAGGTTGTTTTTTGAATTTATAGCCAGATTATGTATAAGTAGTCGTTTTAAGTGTGACCACATATTTATATGATATAATAAGGAAAGGTAAAAAGAAGGACTTTTGATAATGTGATACATGAATCATTCTAGTTAATTGTATCCCAAATAAAACTTTATCCCAAATCCAGTAACGTTCATTTTATATCCT